TTTATGCATAGTTTCACAAAACTGAAGTCAAACCATTCTGTTTTTGCTTCAAATTTCGAAATGATACAATTTAATTTAGATTAAAAACTGCTCGTGTAGCATGTATGCAGCATCTTTGTTTGGATCGTGATTAAAATGCAGTGGTTGCCTCTCATTTTAAAAGGAAAGAGCACAGACAAAGCCTGAGTTTGTTTATGTGAAGAGATTTAATTTATTTGTGTTACTTATTTATTTGATTTGGGGCTTGTTTTAACATTTCAATTTAGTTTTGTTATTTACATTATATTTAGCGACTTCCAAATGAGGACTTCCAAATGAGGACAATAGAAACGATCAAAACCAAAGAAAGAGCAATAATACGCAAGTGCTATATTAGTATATTATTATAGTGTTATATTTCAATTTCACAAAGAAATGTGCAGCATTTTGTCCAAGCAATAATAAAAGGACACATTTAATTTAGAATTTGTCTTAAATCTCATTTTGTTAAAAAAAATCGTGAATCGAATCGTTACATCCCTACTATTATGAAACATCACTGCTCTGAACATCTGTGAAAACTGCTCAAAATTATTTTTATATTTTGTGCACAACTTTCATAACCACTGGGGCAAACGTGTCATTTGTGGTCTAAAATGACAAAAAACAACAACAAATTAAGGACTGTAATTCTGGTCCCATTTATTCAAGTGGGATCCATTAACATATTAAACTAAAAAGCCTCATTACCAACAGTTTATGTTTTCAATTTGTCCTGTATACCCTTGACATCACATCTGTTTTGGGGCGCAATCTGTTGAGTTTCAGCTGCTGTCTTAATTGAAATGACTGGATCAGTTGTAATCTTCACCTTCAGCAGGTGAAGACGACGCTCAGTTCCTCACGGGACGGCAGCGTTAACACGCTCATCTAACAACACCTGTTACCAGCTTTAGCTTTCTGTGAAGGGTAATCAGGCTAATGAATCTCAGCCAAACACCACCAATGTCTTTTGTGTTCTCATCATCTCAATCTAATATGAATATCTGCAGATAGACAGACAGACGGATCGACGGACTGATAAATGAGTATAATTTGCGATGCATTATAAGATGGATGGTATTTTACATTAAAATGGGTGAAATGTGCATTGCCAGATTAATTTTACACTAAAAGCATGCGACTTTGTTGTTATGAATGTGGCTTACGACACTATAAATAATCCATATTTACATGAATTTATTTCTTTATGATGAAAAAGCGGTATTTCGACAAATTCCCCATTTCAAGTTCATAGAGTAGAGATAAAAACACGACTTACAGTTTGACAAGGTTTGAGAGGCCTTTAAAGACGTCCACATGGAGGCAGCCGATCAGGTTTTTGGACAAGTCTCTGCAAGGTACAAAAGATAAGAGAAAGGCACTGTTATTCAACATTTCTTACCTGGATTTGTCCAAATATAAAGCATTTACGGAAATAGCTAATACATACAAATCACATGCAATCTGCAACATCTTCAAGTATTTTAATACTCTTTCTATCGAACTACTAAGGAAGTCCATTTCTGCCACTGTATGAAAAATAAAAAAAAAGGTAATTGCGACTTTCTCTCTCACAATTCTTCTTCTTTTCTCAGAATTGCATGATATAAACTTACAATTCAGATTTGTTTCTTGTAATTGCGATTTATATGTTGCATTTCTGAAAACAATACAATAAAATTGAACCGTGAAATTCACAATTGCGAGGAAAAAACTCAGAATTGTGAGTTCAATTACTTTTTACATTTTTTTATTCAGTGGTGGAAACGAGACTTTATAAAATACAGCCTTAAAGGAAGAAACTAAATGACACATCTATCAAATTAATTATAATAATCCAACATTATTATAACAATTATTATTTTAACCGCTGAGCACCATAACTGACAGCATTCTGGTCTTGAACTGCATTACTTTAGTATTATTTACATACAGTATTTATTTGAATTAGCTTTTATTTTTATATTTTCAGTAATATTTCTTTTAGTTCGTAATTTAATTTAAGTTTTTTTGTAATTTTGTTACATGCTTTTGCCATTTTCACTGGCTGTTTTTTTATTTCTAGGTTTAATTTATATTTATTTCAGCTGTACTTTTAGTAATTTTAGTAGTCTACTTCAGACTTATTTTAATGCAACATTTCAATTTTGGTTTTTAAGTTTCAGTTCTTTAAATTATATTTTATTTCAGATTTATTTCAGTTAATTACGACAATAAACAATACATTTTAATAGTTTTAGTTTACAACAACACTTGAGTGCAACAGCATTCATACAGCCATGCATAACTGTGTTTATTAAGCAAAACATCCCTTATAAAAAAAAACATGATACATTCACCAAACCCCAAATAGGAAATGATCTCATCCTGCCTATATTTGATTAAAACTGACAGCCAAGCAACCATTGCATCCTAGACAAAACATAATTATTCCTGTCAATCCAGCAGTCGTTCCATACAGCGCACAGCATGTTTTTGGCAAAGGTCTCTAAACCCCATTTAATCGCTCGCTTTCATGTCAAGCCACATGTTTCAGACATACAAGCACGAGGCATAAAAAATAGAGCACTTTGATTTACAGCAAGCTTCACTCCAACATTCAAAAGCATAGAGAAGCGCGTAGAAAACCTTCTATGTATACATCTTAGTATGAATTCATCAGTCAAATCTTTACGAAGCAAACAGCATAAATGGTCTGAAATTTGAATTGAATGGCAAGTCCCATAATGTGGTTTTAGCGTAATACAAAGCCTTTGGGCGCTCCTGTATTTGACTCATGTGACTCACAATGGAAATGGAAGTGACTATCATACCAGAGGGCTTAACAGCAGCAGGAATGCAAGGCTGGTTTTTGATGAAGCCCTTGCATGAATGGTTATTCTTCATTGTCTAAAATATTATATGTTTTATGTGTAAAAGATGAATGGTGATGGTTTTCCTTCTATTCCCTTATTGCTTACTTCTATCTAACCCTTACTAATGCAATCCCTGTGGGTGATGCACATAGAACTTGGCACCACATAAATATACCACATATGTTTATCAAACGCATACAGTACTTAAAACATTATGACATTAAGATTTTTAAATGCTATTAATAAAGTCTCTTCTGCTCACCAAGGCCCCATTTATTTGAACAAAAATGCAGTAATATTGCAAAAAAATACATATATATATATATATATAATTTAAAAAGAACTGTTTTCTATTGTAATACATTTTAAAATGCAATTCCATTGATGCAAAGCTGAATTTTCAGCATCATTACTACACTCTAAAAAAAGCTGGGTTAAATGTATATAACCCAGTGCTGGGTTAAAAAGGGACAAACCCAGCTATTGAGTTGTTTTGACCCAGCAATTGGGTTGTTTTGACCCAGCGGTTGGGATGCTTTGAACCCAACCGCTGGGTCAAAACAACGCAATAGCTGGGTTTGTCCCTTTTTAACCCAGCATTTTTTAGAGTGTAGTAGTAATGATGATTTCTGAAGGATCATGTGACAATGAAGACTGGAGTAATGATACTGAAAATTTAGCATTTCATCACATGAATAAATTTCATTTTAAAAATATATTCAAATAAAATCTGTTGAATCTTGAAAATATTAGTGTCCCTACTGTATTTATGAGCACTTAAATGCAGTCACAGTGAGCATAAGAGACTTCATTAAAAACACCTAGACATTATAATGTTTCCAAACTTTTGAGAAGTGCTGTATGATCAGGTTACAAGTTGAAAAATTTGGTTACACTTTACTTGAAGGGGTGTGCATAAGACTGACATGACACCTTCATAATCATGACATGACACCTACATAATCAAGACATGACACATGTCATGAATATGAAGGGTTTTTATGCATGTTTATGACAACTGTCATTAAGTGTCATTCGCTCAGTTATGTAATTTTTAATGCAAAGATGACATTGTTTGAGATGTATTTGTTATGGGCTATGGTTAGGTTAGGGTAAGGTCAAATAATGTCATATTTGCATTAAAAATGACATAAAACCTCCTTCATATTCATGACATGTGTCATGTCATGATTATGAAGGTGTCATGTTAGTCTTATGCACACCCCTTCAAGTAAAGTGTTACCAAAAATTTGATACAACTATTGTTAAATACTGGGCTGTAACAACTAATCAAAAAAACTGATAATTGATATTTAAAATAATCAACAAAAAATGTCACTATACAGTAGTCAAAAACCCATTTCTATGGACAAAATGCATTATTACCTACATTGTCAAGGAAAAAAGAAATTCATGAAAAATATAATGACATAAAACCTCCTTCATATTCATGACATGTGTCATGTCATGATTATGAAGGTGTCATGTTAGTCTTATGCACACCCCTTCAAGTAAAGTGTTACCAAAAATTTGATACAACTATTGTTAAATACTGGGCTGTAACAACTAATCAAAAAAACTGATAATTGATATTTAAAATAATCAACAAAAAATGTCACTATACAGTAGTCAAAAACACATTTCTATGGACAAAATGCATTATTACCTACATTGTCAAGGAAAAAAGAAATTCATGAAAAAATATCAGACAACAGAAGACTAATTTTAACAATTATGTTTTGTATGTAACCTCGTATAAAAGTAATATAAATAATATAATAAAATAAACATATATATAAATACATTTTATATTTATATTATTTATAATATTAAACAAAATATTATAAATAATATAAATGTCTTTTTAAAGAATAAACCCTGACATTTAATTGGGTTGAAGTTATGCATATAATAATTTTACAGTTTAATAAAGTATGAATAATGCTCATCATGATCACATAAAACTGTCTTTTAGATAACACATTAAGATATTATCATCTCTCACACACTCATCTTCTCAAGCTAATGACTAATGAATGCATTTGGTAATTAGCATCAGCAATTTCTTTTAAACTACTTTGACATTTGGCAATGTAACTTAGAATATAAAACTGTGAAAATTCATCTTCTGCACTCTCTCAAAAGTCCTGGACGACAGAAATTCTTTTACAGGGGAGCTGCATACTTCTCCATTTAGCCAGCTAAAGAGCAGTTTATATTGGCAAGGAGTGAGTCATATTACACGGCCGCGCCATACACGCGAACCCTCACAGGAGTACGTATATAACTGACCACTCGCCACATATGCACACAACACGGAACAAACTCTCCTTTCTTTCTCCAACTCTCAATAGTTCTCACACACACACACACACACACACACACAGAAGTACTGGCATGTTAAAGTCGATAGCATCAGTCATGCTGTGCAGAGCACTGTCTGGACATCGTCCATCTGGAGTGAAGAACTGCAGAAAGATGAAGTCTTATTTCTGTGGCTGCACACACCCAACGGTGAAGCTGTTTTTACTTCAATCAGAGCATTTTCGCAACCGAGGTGTCAACCAGTGCTATTTCAGTACTATCGCGTTCTTTTTTTATATATATTTTAATTTTAGTCAAAGTTTAGCACACGCAACAAAATTACCAGTGTCAGGATTGAATCTTTAAAAAGAAAAAGAAAAAAAAATATTTAATACAATGAAATAGATATTTATTATTTATTTACATAGTTATATTACGTATATGGACAAAATGCATAAAACATACATGAAGGAAAAAATAAATTATTGAAGAGCTACCAAACACAAACAGTGATGACAGAGAGACAGACAGACAGATAGATATTTATTAGATAATTTTATTATTTTTTAAATTTGTCTATAAAACTTCAGTATTTCAGTTTCGTTTGAGTTATTTTAGTACATGAATTTAAACTAAATAAATAAATGTTGCCTTGCCAACAAGCTGAAATAAAATAAGTTTAAGATTTTATCTCAGTTAAAGTTTTTGATTCAAAGTAGCAATTTTTTTTTTACAGTTTTAGAGGCTGTTTCCACAACACTGTTTTCAACTAAAAAAAGAAAACTTTTTATGAGTTTTGGCCGTTCATTTAAGGAACAATTTTTTGGGGGCCTAAAAAATGCGAACGGGTTTCAAAGTGCAAGTTTTTGAAAACAATCCCGTTATCACCTGGACTCTGAAAACGTGAATTTGTGAAAACAGTGACATCATGCACATACGTATTACACGTTCAGTCTATAGGAATGTGCATGTGCGTAGGGTTTCTTTACAAAGAGACGTCGCCCTGCTGCTGGCCTGGCAGACGTAATGTGGCACTTTTAGTCATTTTCGCCGATCCGTGTGAATGGGGATTGTTTTTGTAACGACTGATTTGAAACATTTCAAAAACAACAAAAGAAAATCTTTTCCGTTTTTAGTACAATCACTGTCATGTAAACATACCTTTAGTTTACTATACTAACTCTGGTGTCAACAACACATTTTACACACAAGTGAGACAGAATAATACTTACAGTCTTTTGAGGGTGAAAAGTCCATAAAAAGCTCCTGGTTCAATATGTGTGATTATGTTGTTCTTTATGTCCCTGTGAAGAAAAAAAAAAAGTTTTAGACTGAACATTATCAAAATGGCCTTTGCTTAATTTCAAACATGAGCCAAACTGAGCCAACCCAACCCTATAATAACAGGTTATTCAAAACTCAGAAAACATGCCAGTGGGTATAACACTCAAACCTTTTGATGCTGTGATGTGCTGTAGCTAACAGCCATACGCGAACACGCAGCCCTTCATAAATCACTTTCGTTTAACAGTGTAACGTAACATGCGGATCGGAAGCTCTTCAAACGCAGTAACTCAATCGGCAAAATGAATCAATTTAGGTGATTCAATAATATCCTGATGTACTGCACATTATTATACACCAATTATGGGAAATGTCATACTGTAATCTTAGAACGACCACTGTAATGTGTCACAGTGATATAATAGGCCCGTGTAGTATAGCAGAAACTGACTGACCACCACTGACCAAATGAAAGATAAGCACTCAACAATCCCAGAAACCGATATAAGAGGAAGGGCGGATGAGTTCAAAGGCTCCCGTCACTGATACCCAAAGCCCACACCTGCGCTAGTCGGCTAGCCCCGTTGAAAACATCATCACAGAGTTCCTGCGTCAAAGGCGGACTAAACATGTGAGCCTCTTTGAAGTCTCCCCATTTGTGGTTTGAGGTTGGAATGGAGAAGCACACAATACGACAAGAGAGAACAGAGACTAAGGCTACGTTTACACGACAACGATGTAGTCAAAAACGGTAAAGTTTTTCCCTTGCATTTTTAAAAAGTTTCACGTATACACGACAACGTTTTCAAAACGATTTGCATTTACACATATCCGCGAAAACGGCCAAAAACCCTTTTACATATGCCAGGCCAGTAGTTGGCGCTGTCACCTTGTTAGTAAACAGTACCTGTAGGGAAGTGACGATTATATGTTGTATAAGATGCGTCTCTGCTGTTGGTTGTAATATTGGTGAAGTAAATGCACACTTTGCTGAAGAAGCGTTAGCAAACTCTTGAGCAGCACCAACAGTACCATGTACTCCGCCATTGTTGTGTATGTTTGTTCGTGCTTGCCTTTAAAATCGACACGTACTGCGCATGTCTACATACCTAACATGTACTACACACGCGCATGACGTCACCGTTTTGAAAGATTCCCGTTTTGGGTGGGAATTTATACACGGAAACGATAACGGTGGCGTTTTCAAAAACTTGCACTTTGAAACACGTTTTCAAAAATATGCGTTTTCAGTCCCCAAACCGCCGTCGTCGTGTAAACGAACAGGCAAAACGCATAAAAAGTTTCCCGTTTTTGGTTGAAAACGTTGTCGTGTAAACGCCCCCTAAGGTGAAATCAATGATTATAGGCGTTCTCTAAGAACAGCAACATTTAAAAACGTGCCACGGTTTTATAAAAATATGAAGCAGCAAAACAGTTTTCAAAATTGATAATAATCAGAAATGTTTCTTGAGCAGCCAATCAGCATATTAGAATGATTTCTGAAGGATCATGTGACACTGAAGACTGGAGTAATGATGCTGAAAATTCAGCTTTGATCACAGAAATAAATTACATTTTAAAATATATTCCAACAGAAGACAGCTATTTTAAATTGTACAATTATTTTACAATATTACTGTTTTTACATTATTTTTGAGCAAATAAATGCAGCCTTGGTGAGCATAAGACTTTTTTTCCCCCAAGAAATCTTCCTGAGCACAAACTGGTAATGGTAATATTCTATAAAAATATTAGTTCTGAATGATAGCATATTAATCTATTACATTTTTCCCATTGACAGCAAAAAGTTACAATTCTGTCAACATTTACTTTTAAGATATTCATTAAGATATATTTAGTGAAATCTGAGAGGTTTCGGTCCCTCCATTTAAATGTAATGCATCCAAAAAGGTCATAAATGCATTGTAAAATCAATACAAATCAGTTTAATCCAAGTTTCGTGAAGAGATATAATTGCTTCTGATGAACAGACTTTATTTAGGCTTTTATTCACATATAAACAATGACCGACAAATAAATGGCACATCAAATATGGTAAACACGGAAGTTCAATGAGGTTTATTCTAGCATTTGATGCACAAACATTTGAGTCTCTGTGTTAACCATATTTGATGTGCTCTATGTATGTGCGTTGAAAAGTCAAATAAAGTCAAAATATAAAAGTCAAGTATAACCTACATTAAATTTGTCCATCATAAAAAGCGATCATATCTCTTCACAAATTGTATTAAACTGTCTGATTCACATGGACTCGTTTTATGACGCCTTTATGACCTTTTTGGATCTTCAAAGTTTTGATTGCATGAATTTTCTTTTGAGAAAGAAAGTCCATGCTCGCTCCGATTGATCGGTTACCGATCACTATCGGCCGATAATCGCTTTGGGATGTTGTCTAGTATTTAAAAAGGCCGATCTCATCATAAAAAAAAGTCTCACATGGCTCTGGGGGGTGAACAAAGGCCTCCGGTAGCGAATTGATGCGTTTTTGTAAGAAAAATATCCATATTCAAAACGTAATAATCATTTTAATGTAGCTTGAGCTCACTGTTGTACACGAGAAGCAGCTCTGGGTGGATGACATATGAGTTCAGCGTTGCGCATGCGCCGGTGAATCTCGTGAAAACCAACGTTTGTTAACAGGATGAGTAAAACACAGCCTAATTTTCATTTTTGGGTGAACTAACCCTTTAATGGATTTTAATGGTGATCCGGCAGTGCGTTACAGAAGCGGTGCATCTGCAGCAGTGTAGCGATTGATTCCACACTAAGTTTGCTGCACGCGCTGAATTAAAGTGACAGCACATGATTTGCTGTAATTATGAAAACGAAAATGTAGTAATTACAGCATAAATGCATTTAAAGTCTACTGTGTTTCAACACGTATGGCTTTTTGGCTAGGTTTAAAGGAAAAGAGCACTTTTAGATAAACAAGGCAATAATAGATGGCACTCGTGGAGGTAGGAAAGCAAAGTTATTTATGAACCGCAGGATTGCTTGTAATAATTCAAATGCAAAAAAGGCAGTAGAGCTGACTGTTTCTGTTAGTGGTAAGATTTAATTTAGAATGTTTGTGATAACGTAAGAAAAGTATTTTAAATGTTTTGCTACTTGCTTAAACAACTGTGCTGTGTGTAAGATATTGTGCAATAGTTGCACGAGTGTAAAAACAAAAATGCAATGCATGATCGAACATTTAGATGATAAATATATATATTTTTGAAAAATGTCTAAAATGCTTCCCTCCACCCCTCAAAAAATTAAAATAAAAAAACCTCTCACAAGAGTCACCTATAAGAGGGAAATTCCCCCCATTTTCAAAAATGAAATTCAAACCCTGAATAAATGTCAAAATTCCTGATTGGAGTATTACTATAAATAATTCTACATGATAAAAAATAAGATCAGTATCGGTGATATTTCTGTGATCGGCCTCAAAAATTCTGATCGTAGCACCCCTACCAAAAACCTCTTAGGTTTCACTAAAAAAATCTTAATTTGTGTTTTGAAGATTAACGAAAGTCTTATGGATGGTCTTAACGTTAAGTTGAGAAAATATTTTTTCACCCAATTTTCAGGTTAACTATCCCTTTAAGAACTGGAAAGGATTCATCGAGTCAGTCAAACTTAAGTACCGGATCAGTCCAATTTGTGAACAAATCATTCAGACTGGTTTTGTGAACTAAATTAATTCACTGAAAGGTTCTGATTCAAAATGATTTGTTCACTGCTACACCAAGAAGACAGAGGAATATTGAGATTTTTAGTGAACAACAACATAAATTTTGGTCTGAAGTTTTTATAGGACTTTAAAAGACTTAGAATATAGTGCAAAAGTTGTATGGACCACATTTTCATGATGCTTTTTTGTAATTTTGGAGCTTGAAAGCCCGATTCAGTTTCAGTATATGAACAACTTACACGGAAGTCAGTCATTCAGGTTCAAAACAATATTTAAAATGTATCATTTTTAAGTGAACTATACTTTTAACTGCAATAATAAGGCAGGCCTGCATTGGGCATTAGGTGGTGGTGGTGGGGGCTTTCACCAATTCTTATGATGCTGAAAATTCAGCTAAACACACACACACACACACACACACACACACACAGTCACAGAGACAAAGAGCCAGAGAATAATGTGTGAATCAGACTGCTGACATCTCTGGCTTCAGCGCGATTCATTAGAATGACAAAAGCAGCGCTGTGCTCTGGGCAGAAGGGATCGGAGCGAGAGAGAAGCGTGAAAACAGAAAGCCAGAGAGGGCACAGAGGGAGCAGCACTGGAAGGTAACTGTGCCATGAAAGCCCAGAGACACAGAAACCCGCCGTGCCGTCAAGAGAGCGGAAGATGAATTCCTCAGGCTTTCAAAGCATGGGAAGATCAAAGATGTTTACACTTCCAACGTGTTCTAAAGACAAGGCTTTAGCTCTTTATTCCCTGAACTGTTCCATTCTCCCGACATTAAAAGAGCGAAGAATTCCCTCACATTATAAACAGAACGATGCACAGATTGAGTCTTGAATCAACATGACGCTTTGCAACTGGATGAAATGGTCCAGTTGGAAGCTCTCAATTCCTCACGCATCTCTCAAGACGACAAGGTCCACAGGCTGCTGGAACGCAGCGCTCCAGAACAATCACAACCGTAACGAACATCAATTAATTTTGCATTCAAGCAAAACACAAGCCGAAAGTCCATCTGTTTCTTTGTTGCCTGAGATGATTCCCAGATCTCACTCAGCCCAGGAAGCTGAGATCAGGGCCAAGCTGCAAGACCTCTTCATTTGGTGGTACCATGACATGTGTACAAAAGTGAAGTGCTTAGATGCCTGTGATGCTTGTGAAATTGTCCAGGGGGGAAAATGATGACGGGTTAATGATAAAGGAAAAGACAGATTTATGAATGAATCTATAATATAATTGTGTAAAATTGCACTAATTTCCATTTTGGAAAGTTAAATCTAAAATTTAATAATATAGAAAATGCATTTTTATTTG